ACCGGCTGCATGTGTAAACCTCCTGACAATCATAGACGAAGGCTTTTAAGGCTCTTGATTATACCACAGCAAAGTACAAAGTTTGCTTACTAAAAGGAAGTTATTTAGTCAATGCGTGAAAATGTGTGGTGTTAGTTAAAAACGATTCATTGCTTGAAGAGCAAAGTTTGCATATTTTTTCATGCCATCGCCCCCGCATGATATTTTTACCGCATTTTCACGACTCATTTAGCTTTATCAAGAATTACTGAATTGTTTTTCTTTGTAGATAACCTTTTAAGATTTAAGAATGAGCCCTTTGTTGATGAAAAGATGAATTATGCTTGCAAACGTAAAGAACAAAATAAAAAATTGGCCGTGAAGCCGAGTTTCCGCTTTTTGTATAGTCCCTAAGTAATGTCATTTAGTGCCTTTTAAATACAGTTTTAAATACACTCTTGAGATCGAAGGATCAGGCTTTTTTATTTGAAGGAAATCAGATCATGAAAATAAATGACCTTGACCGTAGATAAATGACGGCCATAGCCTTTACGTGGTTCCGGACTACATTAGCAAAAGGGAAGGGATAAGGTCTGCACAGCGTACGCAAACATTACCGTCCACCTCGCAGTATATATTCTTGTGCGGTAGTAGATCAAATTTCGGCGGTCTTTCGTTATTTATTCCTAAATGAGAGTTTTCTTGTTTGTTCTCAGAAGGAAAATGAAGTTCATGTCACACATTGTTTTCATTATTTTCTCACCACCTTTTCAGTCTGGAATAAACAATACCCGGAAAAATCAATTATTCCCGCGGTATTCTTCAATCTAAAATAAACGAAGGGATATGGTGACCTTGTCTCAATGTTGAGCGTAAGGGCGCCCACATATTTTGCAAGCCTGTTATTCTTTACCTAAGGCGAAACGCTCATAGCTGCTGCAATTCTTCGATGTCTTGCAGCTGATTACCAATATAGCGTGTCTTGGAATAAATATTTCTGATCTGTTCCTATCGGGAAAAATTTCGTGGCGAAAAATATGGCCTGTCGGTGCCCACCTAAGATATTGGGATAACATTTGGCCAATAGTGAATGAGTAATTTATTCGTGTACTAAAAACAGCTGTTATCAGCTTTTTTTGTTGAAATTTTGTGGTAAAGCCGCTTGCGTCCCCCTCAGTGGGAAGGCCGTACAATTCCCCAATCAGATTCTTCTCCGATGTCGCCTCTGACAATTAAAAAAACCGCAGGTACTATTGACAAAAGTTATGTGAACTTACTTCGCATTTTATTGATTAAGTGGCACGAAAAGCGGCTCGCTGTCTGAAATGATAGTAATGCTAAAAAATCATTGTAGAAACATAAATCTTGTAGGCGTAGCATCTGCTCGTCATTTTACTGCGCTCATTTTCCCCCTCGAGTTGCAGAATTATGAATGTCTGTTTTTTATTTCTGTATTATTCCGTACTAATTTACATAAGCTGCATTCGATGACACGTCGAGAGGCAAAAGAGTAGTAGATATCCATGTAAAGCTACGAATCTTCGTAAATACAAAGCACTTGACGAACTTGTGGAACGCTTTGTGTTTATCGAGTCTCAATCAATCTGTGTCCCCTTATCAGTATGGGTTTCTCCCAAGCTACGTGGTTTGACACTTCAATTAGGGCTTTATTTATTTATTATTATTATTATTATAATTATTATTGGCCCAACATAGCATCAAAAAAGGAAAAACCCTTGTTTAATTCCTGGTCGCAGAACTACTTTTTTTTCTTGGCAAAACAAAATAAACCAAAATTTACAATTAGAAAATGGTCATCAAAAAAGAAACATAATTTGGAACCTTTATGAATTTATTGGTTTACTTAGTTGTTCGTGCGCTGGCTACTATGTCCGAAGGCTCACTGTATTGAGTTTACACGTCACTCACACAGTTCCTCTTTGTCGCCATCCATGTCCAATACCACAGCTCGTAACGACCCGTAAAAACTGACCTGTCTATCCTTACGGTTTGGCCAATATATTCGCGAGTCGTAAGTCTGTGTTTTTCATCCATGAATCTCATTTAAGTTTTGACCTCGACGGTTAACGATCTGTACGAATCATACGATTCATCGGGATCTTCTTATGTATTCATGAGTTCATGAGTCGTACGACCTACACGAAGAAATATTGTACATGTCTGCAGGGAACAATTGACCTAACTGCGTGTTTCAAAATTACTGGAGACGTGGGCTGCCTTCCAAATGAATAGTCTTATTAAACAGCATGTCAAAATGAAACCATACCCTCCGGTTTGTGTCCCAGTTTAGCCAGATAAAATCGAGTTGCCTGACTTATTTCAAAGCTTGCCTCCCTTTTCCTTCGCTTACTTCCCACTCCTGCGACGTCATGATCAATTTTCCGATTGGTTGGTTTGCAGCCATTTCCTATGAAAAATAAAGCTAACTTAAAGTTTTCGTTGTCTTTGATATGTTTTATGTTTTCTTCCAAAAACTTTTTTGCATCTACTGCGACCACAAAGTAAGCTTGAAGAAGGTATCTCCACTTTTTGTATGGTCATCAGAGCCATGAAAGGGTCTCAATGGGGTCAACAGTTGGCCGTGAAACGACCGCAAAATTTAGCCGTTAGGCGTCGAAAAATGGACAAATTTTTAACATTAGTCATAGGAAAGGTGACCGTAAAAAAACTCCCTGCGATAACAGTTGAAAGAAATTATCCGTTAGCCCGAAATCGGCCAAAATTTTAACCTTTGGCCATAAAATCCATCACACCATTGAGACCCTCAAAAATTCTCGATAATATGTTATAATCGATTCCTTCCTTCCCACCCTTATTCTGACTTTTCTTCTTCACGATCGTAACAGAGTCGAATATTTTGATGATGCTTTTTAATATTCTCCTTCAACTTCTCTGTGCACCGTACAGCACCGCACAAAGTGCACAGACAAAGTTCTTAAAGTACCTCAAGAAGAACACAAACAACAAGAGTATTTCTCGTTCTAAAAAGAACCGCGTAAAGTATACAACATTCTTAAAGTACCTCAGGTGCACGTGAACTGCACAAACAACAAGTGTATTCCCCGCGAAGTGCACACACAGCAAAGATATTCCTTGGTCTTAAAACACCATTTGAAGTGCAAAAAAAACAAGAGTATTTCTCGTTCTAAAAGTATTGCGCAAAGTGCACAAATAACTAGAGTATTCCTCGTTCTACCGGCAAAAAGCACGGCGCGAAGTGGACAAAAAACAAGACGGTACATCGTCTATTGGAAACGCACAACGTATCCCTTGTTCAAGGGGGAACCACGCGAGGTGCCCAAACAACAAGTGTATTTCTCGTCCTAAAAGCACCACGCGAGGTGCACGAACAATATGTGTATTCCTTGTTCTTAAAGTACCCCGTAGAGAGTGCACAAACAACAAGAGTTTTCTTCGTTCTATTAAAATCACCACGCAAAGTGCATTAGCAAATGTATTCCTCGGTCGTAAAGCAAAAAGAACGAGAGTATTTCACTCGTTCTAAAAGTACTGCGCGAAGTGCACAAACAATAAATGTATTTCCCGCAAAGTGCAAACACAGCAAATTTATTCCGCGGTCTTAAAACTACATGCGAAGTGCAAAAAAAACAATAGTATTCCTCGTTCTAAAAGCATTGCGCATAGTGCACAAACAACTAGAGTATTCCTCGTTCTACCGACAAAAAGCACCGCGCGAAATACACAAAAAATTTGAACTAGGAATTTATAGTGTTTTCGAAGCCTTTGGGGCTGGAGGGCAGGGGAGTAATAAAAATTTTTTTTTTCTTTCCTCTATTAGCGACATTTGTAAAGAGTGCTGATAGATTGGATGGGATTTCTATTAAAAAAGCAACTATGTGAAAGGAAAAAGATAGAATGTTTTATTGTTCTCAGAAAATAACCAAAGGTAATGTGAACTCTGTTTTAATTGAAGGAAAGATTGAATATACGATGCACGAAACATGAGAGCAGAAACGAGCACTAGCCATAATTAGGGAAGGAAAAAATTACATATTTTCGACGGGACCCTCTAGTCGCGTACCCTTAGAGTATCGTGTACTTGCCTTAGTATCGCATTTGACATCAGTCGCATTAGCAGGAATACGCGTAGCAAAAATTTTGTGTTGATGAAAAAGGGATGCATCCAAGGAATCTTCTCGAAAAAACATTTAAAGAATGATTCCTTTACTCCTTCTAATAACAAATTGATGGTCACGATAACAAAAGTTATGACGGGAAATTCCTTTGTTTTGAAACCTTGCGTCCCCAAAGTAAAAAACTGCTTTGAAAATAATTTTAAAATCAGAGACCGTTTTGTTGTTGTTATGGGAGAAAGTAAGAAAAGTAGACGAGAAGAAACTGAAAATTTAACATTCCACCTAAAGTGTCAAATCGACACACCACCATACCAAACTCAGGTCCACAGATCGAAAGTACGCCCCGTGAATATATTAGACAACTCGGTTCGGGTCGTACAACTCGTGAATACATTCCACGACCCGTACGGGTCGAACGGATCGACAGTTTTACGACTCGTTACGATCCGTGGTATTGGAAAACCCTCAAGGGTCACTGTTATGAGTTTGCACCTCACTCACAGAGTTTCTCTCAGTCCCCACCCAGGAATATGTATTGATTTAACTGGATTATTATAAACTGTTAAGGCGGTAGTGGATACGGTTGGGGACTGGGGGGGAGGGAGGGAAGACGCTAACTTTCACAAACTGGTATGCTATCTCTAAGGAGAGCGTTAAATATGTTATGTTGGCCAAGCTTGGGATAAAAATGTTTGGATGTTAGAAGGAACAAAGCCGCCAATCATTAGCTTTCTTGCTAGCGAGGATAAATAATCAGAAGTCGAGAGTCGACTTATGTTCTCAGTACACAAAACCAAACATGTTCTTTAGGTTTCAAAACCAGACACGTGGCGTTCTCGCTGTCATGATTTCGAGTAGGATAGTTTCTGATTGGTAAGAATTCTGTATTGAACAACGCAGCAATGTACTTACTTGTTCCAACCCATTTTCTTGATTTATTTATCATTGAATATTTTAGGTTCGGTAATTAAATCATGATTATCCCATAGAACAAGTTTTGTCGACTCATAAACTCAAGGTCATAAGTTGTGAATTTAGAATTAATGAAATGCCTTTTAAGGAGAGAAGAATCTTAATGACGCACCCTGAGTTACTTTGGCGGTTTTACGAGGCATTGGGACATTATATGCTCTCTGGCTTTTGACCGAGTAAAACAATAATCATCGTTCTTCAGAAGTACCATACAGTGCCTTCTTAACAGGGGCTCAGTCACAAGGCCCACCAGCGAGGCTGTGAATGTGCCCCCTCCCATGGCCACCACGATGTACCCCATGGCGAACTCCTTATATCGATCATCGAATCTGTCTCTGAAGAATGCCAATGCGTTCACGAAGAAAACTCCGATGGTAACCCCACCGGTGAATGACAAAACCAGTACGATCCAAACACTCGGTAGAAAACGATACCAGGCAGAAAAGACGAAGAACAGAAGGTGCATGACTTCTATTGTCGAAAGGACCCATAGATACGGGAATTTAGCTTTTTCGGCCCATTCTGCTTTGACATAAGAGAGTACCACGAGGTAAGACCGTCCCACAACCTCACCCCCCAGGAATACGAAAATGTAATACTGGTAGTGGTCACGTGGTCTGAATGGAGCGTTGGGAAAAGCCAGAGTTGTAATCACGGATTGGATGATCATGTATTCTGAAAACCAGGCAATAAAAATCGGTATCAAATTGGGAAGCATTTGAGAAATGATCATGAACTTTTCTTGATAAGAGAGGGAGTCGTTGTTTTCACTGTCTTCGGACTTCGTTTCTTCAGCTTGGGCGTCTGTCGAAAGCAAATGAAAATTTTATGCAGAACTAACTAACATTATATGTATTAATATATCAAGCGGAGAGCAGCTACTTACCAAGCTTATTCAAATCATCATTTCTTGAATTTGTATGGCTGCTATTTATTACATTATAATTGCACCGTGGGTCGACTATCCATAATTGAGTGAGAATTGGAGCTTGCTTAAATATTTCTTGATGAAATGAGAAGTTGTTTAATAATTAAGGGCTTCTTTGGTTGGTGATTATTTCCTTTGTTCTCGTGACCTAAACATGTGATTCAGGGGTGATATTGTTATGAGAAATGAGGTGCTCATCACTATTCGGGCTCAGAAGGTTAATTTTATCCCTCGGTGCTCTTATAACAAACATCGGTGTTTTTCTTTACTCTTTGGACCGAAGAAGTCAGTTAATTCAACTTGGGAGTCAGAGGAAGACATTATATCTCCCATCGCTTTCCGACTCCACTATGCACCGATCTCTTCTTTTTAAATTGTGGTCATTTGTTTGCATCTAATTCACTAGGCTTACCATTAGTCTCTATTGGTGTGTACTTTATTCCTCCGCATTCGCTAGCCGCGGGGGAACTGGGAGACCCAAGATGTTTCTTGTCCATAGCGTAGTAACAGACGAAGATCAATAACAGCATGGCCGCCATGATTAATATGGTGGCGTTTGGTGAAACACAAGCCCATGTTGTCATGGCTGCAAGAAAGAAACGATACAAAATGTTTCATTGCAGCCTCTTAAATTCAGGAACTCCTTAGTGACTCTAGCTCAACTACAACAACGAACTTCCTGTGAACCAAAGCGTCTTATTTTGAAGTGAACTTTAAAGTCCTCTACCATAGTTGATAGAATTGTTCAGGGTTATTTCCTTTTCCCCAAGCTATTCAAGCTGGCGGAGTTCTAGAGTGGTATTTAAGATTTTTGTGGCATTTTCAATACAACTCAATGCAACGGGTGAAAATAACTCATTTTCCACCACCAAAAATGACTCTTTAAAGCGATTGGAGATTAAAGGATAAAGTACATTTAGCTTGCACAATGCAAAGTCTTATAAATTACAAAGTTACAAACTGAGAAATTGTTTCCTTTTTTCTTCACAATTCTGGTCGTTGGCGTCAAATGAGGAAATTTTCTTATCACGTTTTTGCTTAGATTTAGAAATGTACACATTCTTCACTTATTGTACGTGCCTGCTTGCATTCATAGAAAAGAATAAAGCCACAAACAAGGAAAAAATGAAACAAAAGGCAAATTAATACAAGACACGTCATGCACCACCGAATTCACATGATTTATTTTTACAGTCTCTAGACGCTCGCTTGATCAAAAATATCCCTGAGATTGTTAGAACTCTAAAACAATTTTGTATTAAATGTATGATTTGCTTTCAAATGAAAACAAATCTAAGGTGGACTCATAATTTTCGTTTGCACTACTTAACATCAAATATTAATAACGGAAATATGAATTTTAAATTTATTAAAAAAGGATCAGCTTTAGTACAAACAAGAGGTCATCGAAAACCCAGATACTGAAGTTATTGCAAAAAATAAACACAAAATACATACCTGTGTAATATAAAGGTGCGATTATGAATCCCGCTCCTGTACCCGCTGAATATGCACTCACTGTGACTTCGTGATAAAAAGACGTGAGCGCCAAGAAAGTCACTTCGCCGACTCCATAACCAAACGATGCTATCCCGACGCCCATTAATTTCCAATGAACTTGCTTAGCAAAGGCAAGCATGAGAAAGCCACCGATTCCAGTCAGGAATACCGTCGCGATTCTAACAAAGTAAGGAATATTTTGCATGAAGTATGGCGCAATTAATGTGACAACGAAATATGGTCCGATGTCCGCGACTAAAACCATGGAAGTCTGAATGAACGTTCCCGCGAGAATATCTTGAGCGCCCGCTATAACCAACGAATATGTTGCGTAAATCAGCGCCCCAAACACGAAAAATGCTGCCACTGTTCGCAATCGCTCCCGCTCTTTCTCGCTGGGTTTGAAACCAGCAGTTTTAAGTGGCGTCAGTGCTGTCTCTTTATCACTTGTTGACATTTCACTATTCGATTTAGAAGACGAACACGCGTTTGTAACTCAAGCCGGCTTTTTCCTTCACAAATAGGATTGGGTATTCCTTCTTGTTTCAGGGTTTTCACGGTTTGTTGATTTTAAGTACAAGCACACCTTCACTTTTTTTTTAGTCGAAGCAGCTGGTGTTCTCATACAGTGACGGAAACTCAATTAAAGAACGCGAAATCTTCACCTTACAGGAATGATTTCCTATTTTCATTCGTTGAATTGCGTGTGTTTGAGTGAAGTTTTCATCCATCAAATACTTCTTGATTTGAGAGCCTGTTTGAAGCCTCGCGAGAAAAAAAATGATATTTTCTCTGAACACCAGGGCATAAAAGAGCAAAAGAATTATTGATGAAGATATAATTATTTTCGAAAAAACAACACATTTGCATTTTAGACTCATTGTTTTGATAACCAATCAAACTTAAGGTCGTAATCGTTAAGTAGTGTTTTTCTTCCTTCGCAAAATATGGTTTTGAAAAATCAATAATCAGTCAAACTCTCTAATCTTACCAGGTGTTGGCTGAGATACAAATCTGAGTTTTTCGCGACCCGCCGCGGAAAGGAAGAATTCGTATAAACACCACGATGAAAAACTTAAGGTCGTAATCAAAGCGCTTTTGGACCATTGGGAATTAGCGCTCTATAAATACTGTATATTATTATTATTATTATTATGAAAAAAGGTGTCTTCGTATGGATGTAAATAAAGTAATCAAAGATCGAGAGTGCAAACCGCAGTGAAGGAAATAATGATATTTTGACGCATGAATGGAGATTGATTTTAATCCCGCTCCCCATAAAACCACTAAGAAATAAAAAATAGTTTACTATCTTAGAACACTGAAAAATCTTTTTTTGCCAACCAAACAAAACTTATCCTAAAGTGCCGGGTTTCTTTCGAAGAATATTCTGCACGATACACAAATAAATGTCACAGTTGTATCATACTAATACGAAATTCAACGATCTTTTCAGAGCAATTCAGAAAATGTGACATTCAAATTAATGTAAAATAAATCTGAATCGATTTAGCAACTTATTGAAATAAACAAATTGTAATTCACACGATTCAGAGAAATGAGAAACAGTGCGATCGTGTGGCGGCGAATCCCGACAGAATACGACCTTGTCTCGACCTTGTCCCGAAGAAGGACGACTATATCACTGTACGGTGTTCATAGTTAGCCGAAAATCATTCCGCTGCAAGTGAGAGTCATTTTGGCACATATCAAAAGGCATTTCGTTACAAACGGAAGTTTGTTGATACACAAATTGTACTTTTATTTCCATAAATTAATAAAGTAGGTTCATTGTGAACACTGACTTCCGACGAAGATAAGAAACTGTCTACAGATTCAGTTTGGAAGATGAAAGAAAGAACTCTATAAGCCATCTTGTTCACGAGTGAGAAATCTCTGGAAACCAGATTAGAAAAACTCTTCTCTGATGGTAAATTCGGCACAAAAATAACTCGAAAAGTGAACTAAACAATCATAAATAAAGGGGAGGTAATTTTCTAGAAGTCCTGTTAAAAAAATTAACTTAAAATAAAGTACTACAAAGGTGTACTGAGCATCACTCACTGAGGAAGACAATTTTCACACTAAATACGAGATGATTGATATCTTCTTTGACATCTTGTCGTCTATGACAAAATCATGATATATGTTTTCCTCACTAGAATCCCAAAACCAAAATTGATGAGCAGAAAATTAGTAGTTGAAATGATGTGTCCATTTACAGCAATTTTGTGCATCGAAAAATTCATGAGTGACTATAAAGCAGATGTCCAGTGAATATATATTTCCTTATGCTATTTCCCTGTGGACATCTTTAAGTTCACTTGATTTTTAACAGACTGAAGCTTGTTACAAATTTATACTGAACTTTTTTGGAACATATTTCAAACTTAATCACGAGAAAAAAAATATTTTCATCGACTCGACATTGGAGAAAACACCTGCATGTTACATTGACGGGCACAATAAAAGGAAATATTTTATATGGCAAGCAAGAGAATATTAATCAGTTGATATTCTCTTTTATGCCAATATATTTTTCGCCTTTTGTGCAAAGGGTCAATTTTCGTATTACCGTAATGACTTCATGTGTGGGACTCCAGAATGTTTAAGCACACAGATTTCAATGGGAAAATTACAAAAATTAAGACAGAAGTTTTCAAGATGTTTGAACGATAACAAAGCTTCTTAAAGAACAATAGCGATGAAAATCAATGGTTAATAATCAGGGAGAGCCGGAATAAGAATATGATTACCTTCTGTGGGGGCCGTTTTGGGGAATATTGGCCCGAGGTCGTGACTGTAGGAACCAAGCGCAGCGAGGTCCGTGCAAAAGCGATCGAGGGCCAATATTCCCAATAAGGCTCGAGCAAGCAAAGATAGTAATTAGTTTATTTAATGGCAGTTGGAGCAACTTGTTTATTTGGAATTTGCCAGCTTTTGCGAACAAATATATACGGCCTATGACCGTTTCCGTGGAAACGATCCGTATGGAAAATACGGAGGAAGCAAGAACCAATCAGAACGGTCGGTTTTACTTTAGGACAACCTTGCCACATAATAATTCAAGTTATTAACACAGCTGATTATCACGGTTTATCGCACGTACCGTTATTTTATTCGATAAATGTTTTTTGATGGATAAAACGATAAGCTAAGTAACATAAAGCTTTCAGTTCTCATTGGACTTGTATCTCTTGGCGAGCATTGATCTAATTGATAACAAATTACGAAACTTCCAGGGAGACGGCAATTTAAACAGATGCCAAAGAAGAGGCTTCTTTCTAATCAGCCAAGAGTTGCTTCAGTACAACGACAACGTCAATTTCATAGTGTAGCAAAATATTGATATGAAAAACCACAAGGTGAAACTATTGGATGAAAGAGGTGATAACGAACTGACAGCAAATCACCAGCCTGAACGCGCGGGACTAGGCAAAGTGGCAGCGTTTTTCGGACTGGGAAGTTTAATCAACATTACGTTCTCCTTGGTTACAGCTGCTACTCAAGATATTTTGGCGGAAACGTACTTTCCAACTTCTACGGTTCTTATTGCAGACACTCTACCGGCCTTCCTTGTCTCTCTGATTGTGCCATACTTTATGCAGCGCATCCCATATGTTGGCCGCATTGCTCTTGTCTATCTGCTAAATGTCAGCGCACTCATCATGCTTGCACTCGTAAAACAACTTTATTGGAAACTCATTGGAGTAGTGATGATTTCATTTGCAGCTAGCGCTTGCGAAGTGACGGTACTGTCTTTGACTTCGTTTCATGGCGAGTTAACACTGACCGCGTTTTCAGCAGGAACAGGAGTAGGATTTGCAGTAGGACCCCTATATTATACAGGTGTGTCTTAGCATGTTAAGTTAGGCTGAACTGCTTAAGGTTCAACTTTAAATTTTTTCTCAACTTTGATTATTGATTTTCAAAACCATATTTTGCGAAGGAAGAAAAATACTACTCAACGATTACGACTTTTAGTTTGATTGGTTATCAAAACAATGAGTCTAAAATACAAATGTGTTGTTTTTTCGAAAATAATTATATCTTCATCTGCAATCGAGTTTAAGTTTTGTTTCAATTTAGCCTCGGAAAGTGCGAAGGTACAGTGTAAATCATATACACTGTATAAAAATTCCCTTAACCTTTCAACTCCCAAAAAAAAATTGTCACTCATGGGAATCAAAGCGTTAACACTCGAATATTTTTTTCTTTAGCGATGACTACGTGGGCCTGCATTTCACCAAAAGCCACCCATTGTATTATGGCAGCCATGATGGTTCTGATCTTCGTTTGTTATTACGCCACTGGAAATTCAGTGTCAAAGCCACCCACTTATTTAACTGCTGAGCATGTTGGAGTGCGCTTATTAGCTTTAAATACTGATGGTAAGTTCAGCATTTACGTTCAGTTAAGTGTGCAGATTTTACAACCACCATCATCGCAAAAAGTGCGATGAGTTTTACCAGGTATAACTAATCCATACCATCGATGACATTAGTGAATTCGCCATGTCATATTAAAATTTACCTGATCCCCTCCCCCCCCAAGGTTCTGTAGTATTCCTATGACACCCCTCACTGGCAGTCAGTTTTGTATAGTCCCCTTGTAAAATTTGTTAGCGACTGCTGATTCCCTCCCAGTTCCCCCTGATTAAATTGTGATTCCCCTCATAATCTTCCGATCCCCTGCCGGCGATAAGTTACTACCGGTCCCATTGTTAACTGGATGAACCTCCTTTGTTCATACCTTACAGCACACAATGTATACGACACTTCAAACGAAGATTATGACGAAATAGGCGAAGATACCTCTCTTTCTAGGCGCCAAAAGTTCACGGTCATTCGTCAGATGCTACCTCAAATGATACCAATTTTTTTTACATTTTTCGCACAATATTTCATCATTCAAGCCGTCGTCACAACCCTGGCATTTCCCAGCTGCTCTTTCAGCCCAAGTGACCATTATGAGTATTACATCCTTGTATTCATGGTAGGGGAGGTGGTGGGGAGGTCGTATCTTGGAGTGCTGTCCTGCATAAAAGAAGACTGGGGAGACAAGGCTAAATTTCCTTACCCTTGGATTATGTGTCTGGTTCAAATCATGGATCTTCTGTTTTTGGTGCTAGCAGCCTGGTACCGTTTTCTATCGAGTGTCTGGATTGTTTTGCTCCTTGTGTTTATCTCAGGAGTGGTTGTTGGTGCCTTTTATGTCAACACCGTAATATTTTTCAGAAATTGTTTCCAGGAAAGGTACAGAGAGTTTGCCATGGGATATATCATTGTAGGCTTGCATGCAGGGGTACTGACAGCCGCCATGTTGGGCCTGTACATCGAGCCCTTGTTACGTGAACACTGCATGACCCACGTGGATAACACAGACTTTTGTTTTACGAGATCGCAGTCTTCAAATGGTTTTACTTCATCTTGTTTAGTAAAATGAAACTGACATCTCCGTTCGTTTCTGTACCTGTGCGCTTGTGCTTACTGACTTTTTAAACATTAAATAAACTTCCCTTGGATTGGTATAATTTTACTAGTAGCTACCAGTGGTAGCTTAGTCTCTGTTCGCTACTAGGATTTCGTTCAATTGAGCCTCTCTAACACCCTCATAGTACAGGGAGTGAACATTTGATCGTGTAAAGGGGGTAACTTTGTAAAGAAATTGTTGTGCTGCGTCGGTAGGGGATACTGTGGTTTGTGTTGATAAATTAAATTGGTCACAGTAAAGATTTTCTAAAGCTGACGTTTCGAGCTTTGGCCCTTCGTTTAAGCAGATACAGGTTGTGCGTGGTCTATATACGGAAAAAATGGAGCTACACCATTGGTTGGAACATGACAACGTGAAAAACACAAGAACAAATTAGCTCAATGAAAAGGTTAACATGTCTAGCGACTGGTTTAAGGTGCATCTTTGTCATTCCCTTCCATGTCATGAAGGTCGCCTAGTCGTCTTCCCGTTTCACCGATGAATGACAGTTTGCGATTAGTTCATGTGATGCAACAGATGACATTAGCGGAAGTACAGTCGATGCTTTGGTTTGTTAGTTGATGATGTTCAGCAATGTGATTGTTGACATTAACATTTCTCGTCGCTCGTTTGTGTTTAGTCAGGCTTGAGTTGAGGTTCCTGTGGTTCAGAGTGGCAGAATGGGTGGAAGGGGGGGGGGGGGTCTACGAGATAATTTGGCATTATCAACTGAGTCGAGAATGGGAATTGGCCACCGTAAAAAGATTAGCACAGTTTCGATTGACAGCTTCGACGATTTCCCTTACAATCTTTTTATAGTAACTATTTAAGCGAAGAAAAGGCGCCGAAATTTTAAATAATCTTAGGAAGAAAAATTATTTTACTATAGGAATAGGTTGGCTCAATATTGCATCAAAGTCAGAGAGACATTACTGATTGAATGATTGGAACAAGTGAGATGATTATGACATTATTTTTTTCCATTTGGGTGAGTCTATACAGATGGTCGAATCTAGTCGCAGGATCCCCGCAAAGTATCGAATAATTACTTTCTGCGCGCAACCTTAGGATGGTTAAGGATACTGATTGCAAATGACCAACTCGAAAAATAAATACGAAACCTTTTTTGGAGGTTCAGTAACTATGACAAAGGTCTTTTACTAATAAAACTTATGCAAATCAATGACTCATTAAAAAGATCTTTCTGACCAGGAAAGAATACATAAGAATGCAATTTATGCGATAACTATGGGATGGCAGATAATAATCGCTTAGTCGCATGTACCTTTTGTTTCACTCTTTTGGGGATCAATAAAATGATAATCTGAAAGTTACGAAGCTTCATCTTATGCCTGAAACTGTGTCTTTAAACAAGCATTGATTTCATTGACAACAAACTACGGACTGCTCACTGAGAGAGCTTGACAAACTCATCTGAACGAAGGGGACAAGCTTTGGAAACTCTAAAAAAAAAAATATTTTGGAAAGGTTAGTACTTTTCGACTGCCGATCAAGGTTACGCACAAGCTTTTAATTGCTCACTAGCCAAAACCTGCCTAATTACCACAACGACGTCACCTTTACAGTACACTAAAATCTTGGTATGAAAAAACCACGAGGCGGCATCATTGGACCATGACGGTAGTAACGAACTCGAAATAAATGAACCGTTTTAACAGTCTAAACGCGAGCGACCGCGCACCGTGGCAGCATTTTTCGGGCTGGGAATTCTTCTTCACACCACAATTTCCTTGGTCGCATTTGCTTCTGAAGATATTATAGCCGCAAAAAATATTCCAACTGCTGTGGTCCTAACAGTAATCATGACAAGGTAAGTTACTGGAAGTTTATTGGATCGGGGATGATTTCATTTGGGACTGGCCTTGGCGAGGCGACAATTTTGTCTTTGACTTCGTTTCATGGCGAGCTGATATTGTCTGCGTTAACAGCTTGAACAGTGTGATGGTTAGTGGATGGCTGTGCTCTGGATCTAGAGGTGTATACGCTTTCTATTTTATAGTATTGAAATCGCTTTTTTGCGCGGGAAATAAAACAGGCAGGCCTTTTCAACAGCACAAAAAGGATTTGTTTCCTTGCTTTTTCCGCAATAAGGAAAAAATCACTGTAACAGTCTATTTGACTCCAGGTAATGGAATATACAGTTTATCTGTCTGCGGGCCAAGTTTAGCATTATCTTAATGCAAGTTGTTGCTCTTGGTCTTCCAATGGTTAAATTCAGCTCCGCACTTAAAGACTTGACATTAATAAAGTCATTGAACATCATTGAAGGTCAAAAGACAGCATTTACTATTCCTAGAAACTATTAACCGTCATAAGAAACCTGTACTGTCCTTGGAAATCATTTTCCGTCACTAAACATCATTCCCTGTCACTAGACATCATTTACCGTCAATTGAAATCACTCGCCGTCCGAGGCCATTATTCGCCATCACAAGACATTTGTTACCATCGTAGCACTCGTGAGCTATCGAGTTTAACACTCGAAGAGAAATTCCATATCTACGCGCGCCCATGTATTATTCTCTCTCTCTCTCTCTCTAAATATATATATATATATATTACGCAGTTGACGAAGAGTATGCGTATTAGTGTTGTTATTTAGACGCTAAGGCTTAGCAAGATTTCCGCCCACTTTTTCGTTGAAGAAAGTAATCGCGAAAACAATAGAAATTTCTTTGGAACTGCGGTTTTGTTTTAGAATAAGACAATTTGGTTTAACTGAGCTGATAATGCAAATTGGCCACCTTAGAGAGTTTGTAAAGCTGACGTTTCGAGCGTTAGCCCTTTGTCAGACGCTCTGACGAAGTGCTAACGTCCTAAGCGTCAGCTTTAGAGACCATGGACCGGTCTAGAGTTTGTCCACGGTAATCAATTTGCATTATCAACTCAGTTGATAGAACCACATTATCTTGTAATACGTCCCACCGACGCAGCACCACAATTCTTTGGAAAATTACCCCCTTTATTCACTTGCGTTAGAACAGCTTGGGGTTACACTGAAATCTTTCTGAAAGCTTTTTAGAGTTCACACACACTATGCAAAAGCTAAACTAATTTTCAGAAATCAATTACATCAGAAAGTTATTCCTACCGAATCAATAGCTTAAACAATACCTACGCAAAATGGGCACATTACACTTCATTCGAGACAATGCATTCAGTACAATGCAATCTCCACAGGATATTAATCACCCATGCGTTTTTTGTGAATTCCGGTATATTACAACAAATTCTCAGGTCAGAGGATGTTGCCAAGTAGGATGAATGATCTGCAGCAGTCGAGAGAGCTAGCTTTGAGATTACGGGTGTTTTAAAAGGAGAAAGAGATTAACATACATCGAAGTAAATCATACTGAATGATCACAACAAAATAATTGATAAAATAGATTATGCTAATATTTTTCTCCATTTGAGCGATTTTGCATAGATTGTTGAGTATTGTCGTAAGATGATATCATTAAGTGTCGGGAATATGATCATTATAGTGACTGTGCTGATGTGCGGAACATAAGGATTATCAAGGACACAGATTACAAATAATCACCTTGGTAAATTGTTTAATGCCCTTCAACAGTGAGAAATTTCTTGAAATCAATAGCAGAGCAAATGAGTGTCTTAGATGTGGTAAGACAGATTTTGTTTGATCAGGTAAGCTGGCAATAGAACGGAATTTAATCGATTAGTATAGATTATTATTATCCTTTCATTAAAACGCGAGGTCTATTCATAGGTGTTGGTGGCGGATACAGTCATTGCTGAACGTCACGAGGCTTCATATTTTCCTTGGACCTGTTTCCTTAAACAACCTTTTTTTACACTCTTAGCAAAATCGCTACGAAGTTTCAGCTTCGAAGGAGATCGACAAACCCATTCAAGCGTAGAGGAAGTGTCTACGATTTGGCTGAAAAGTCTGAAGAAACGCTTTTTTCTTCGACCTCCAATCCATTTTGCGTATTAGCTTCTTGCTGCTCATTTGCCTGAAGTTGCCAAAGAACCACGACACGATCAACTTAACGGTGTAATAAATCTTCTCGGTCGACTTGTCGGTATGGGAAACTTTAAGACGAAACCTGTGCAGCATAACGATGGTAACAACCTCAAGATATATCACGAGCCTGAGCGCGAGAGATTACGCAAAGTTATTGCGTTTTTCGGGCTGGGAATTCTTCTTTACATCATTTTCTCCCTGGTCATAGTAGCAGCTCAAGATATTCTAGCTGAAACGTATATTCCAACTTCTGTTGTTCAAATTGCAAACATTGGACCAAATTTTCTTGTTTCTCTAATCGTACCGTACTTCATGCAACGTATTCCATATGTTGTTCGCGCTTTCCTCATCTTCTTCCTTTCTGTCACCGGTCTCATCGTACTCGCGTTGGTGAGGCAAGTTCAATGGAAGTTAATCGGGGTGGGAATGGTTGCAGTTGGTGGTGGCCTTGGTGGACCGACAATTTTGTCTTTAACATCGTTTCATGGCGAGCTGACATTAGCTGCGTTCTCAGCGGGAACGGGAGTAGGATTTGCAATTGCACCCTTGTATTATACAGGTGTGTGTTGAGATATAGTGTTTAGGCTAACCTGTTCGAAATTCAAACTCTTGGTATTTTCAATTTCCTAATGCTAAATCCATTTAAAATTAGTCTTGATATGGTATTGCCCGCACTTAATCGAGAAATTTTATCACAATGTTCGGCGCACTGCCACACTAATGAGATTAGCAACAATGCTATTTACTTTCATTGCTTTCT